GCACATGGAGCAGAGTGGCACATGGAGCAGAGTGGCACATGGAGCAGAGTGGCACATGGAGCAGAGTGGCACATGGAGCAGAGTGGCACATGGAGCAGAGTGGCACATGGAGCAGAGTGGCACATGGAGCAGAGTGGCACATGGAGCAGAGTGGCACATGGAGCAGAGTGGCACATGGAGCAGAGTGGCACATGGAGCAGAGTGGCACATGGAGCAGAGTGGCACATGGAGCAGAGTGGCACATGGAGCAGAGTGGCACATGGAGCAGAGTGGCACATGGAGCAGAGTGGCACATGGAGCAGAGTGGCACATGGAGCAGAGTGGCACATGGAGCAGAGTGGCACATGGAGCAGAGTGGCACATGGAGCAGAGTGGCACATGGAGCAGAGTGGCACATGGAGCAGAGTGGCACATGGAGCAGAGTGGCACATGGAGCAGAGTGGCACATGGAGCAGAGTGGCACATGGAGCAGAGTGGCACATGGAGCAGAGTGGCACATGGAGCAGAGTGGCACATGGAGCAGAGTGGCACATGGAGCAGAGTGGCACATGGAGCAGAGTGGCACATGGAGCAGAGTGGCACATGGAGCAGAGTGGCACATGGAGCAGAGTGGCACATGGAGCAGAGTGGCACATGGAGCAGAGTGGCACATGGAGCAGAGTGGCACATGGAGCAGAGTGGCACATGGAGCAGAGTGGCACATGGAGCAGAGTGGCACATGGAGCAGAGTGGCACATGGAGCAGAGTGGCACATGGAGCAGAGTGGCACATGGAGCAGAGTGGCACATGGAGCAGAGTGGCACATGGAGCAGAGTGGCACATGGAGCAGAGTGGCACATGGAGCAGAGTGGCACATGGAGCAGAGTGGCACATGGAGCAGAGTGGCACATGGAGCAGAGTGGCACATGGAGCAGAGTGGCACATGGAGCAGAGTGGCACATGGAGCAGAGTGGCACATGGAGCAGAGTCGGCACAATCCGGAGCAGAGTGGCACATGGAGCAGAGTGGCACATGGAGCAGAGTGGCACATGGAGCAGAGTGGCACATGGAGCAGAGTGGCACATGGAGCAGAGTGGCACATGGAGCAGAGGGCACATGGAGCAGAGTGGCACATGGAGCAGAGTGGCACATGGAGCAGAGTGCACATGGAGCAGAGTGGCACATGGAGCAGAGTGGCACATGGAGCAGAGTGGCACATGGAGCAGAGTGGCACATGGAGCAGGAGTGGCACATGGAGCAGAGTGGCACATGGAGCAGAGTGGCACATGGAGCAGAGTGGCACATGGAGCAGAGTGGCACATGGAGCAGAGTGGCACATGGAGCAGAGTGGCACATGGAGCAGAGTGGCACATGGAGCAGAGTGGCACATGGAGCAGAGTGGCACATGGAGCAGAGTGGCACATGGAGCAGAAGGGCACATGGAGCAGAGTGGCACATGGAGCAGAGTGGCACATGGAGCAGAGTGGCACATGGAGCAGAGTGGCACATGGAGCAGAGTGGCACATGGAGGCAGAGTGGCACATGGAGCAGAGTGGCACATGGAGCAGAGTGGCACATGGAGCAGAGTGGCACATGGAGCAGAGTGGCACATGGAGCAGAGTGGCACATGGAGCAGAGTGGCACATGGAGCAGAGTGGCACATGGAGCAGAGTGGCACATGGAGCAGAGTGGCACATGGAGCAGAGTGGCACATGGAGCAGAGGTGGCACATGGAAGCAGCGTGGCACATGGAGCAGAGTGGCACATGGAGCAGAGTGGCACATGGAGCAGAGTGGCACATGGAGCAGAGTGGCACATGGAGCAGAGTGGCACATGGAGCAGAGTGGCACATGGAGCAGAGTGGCACATGGAGCAGAGTGGCACATGGAGCAGAGTGGCACATGGAGCAGAGTGGCACATGGAGCAGAGTGGCACATGGAGCAGAGTGGCACATGGAGCAGAGTGGCACATGGAGCAGAGTGGCACATGGAGCAGAGTGGCACATGGAGCAGAGTGGCACATGGAGCAGAGTGGCACATGGAGCAGAGTGGCACATGGAGCAGAGTGGCACATGGAGCAGAGTGGCACATGGAGCAGAGTGGCACATGGAGCAGAGTGGCACATGGAGCAGAGTGGCACATGGAAGCAGAGTGGCACATGGAGCAGAGGGGGCACATGGAGCAGAGTGGCACATGGAGCAGAGTGGCACATGGAGCAGAGTGGCACATGGAGCAGAGTGGCACATGGAGCAGAGTGGCACATGGAGCAGAGTGGCCACATGGAGCAGAGTGGCACATGGAGACAGAGTGGCACATGGAGCAGAGTGGCACATGGAGCAGAGTGGCACATGGAGCAGAGTGGCCACATGGAGCAGAGTGGCACATGGAGCAGAGTGGCACATGGAGCAGAGTGGCACATGGAGCAGAGTGGCACATGGAGCAGAGTGGCACATGGAGCAGAGTGGCACATGGAGCAGAGTGGCACATGGAGCAGAGTGGCACATGGAGCAGAGTGGCACATGAGCAGAGTGGCACATGGAGCAGAGTGGCACATGGAGCAGAGTGGCACATGGAGCAGAGTGGCACATGGAGCAGAGTGGCACATGAGCGAGGGCAATGGAGCAGGTGGCACATGGAGCAGAGTGGCACATGGAGCAGAGTGGCACATGGAGCAGAGTTGGCACATGGAGCAGTAGTGGCACATGGGAGCAGAGTGGCACATGAGCAGAGTGGCACATGGAAGCAGAGTGGCACATGGGAGCAGCAGTGGCACATGGAGGCAGAGTGGCACATGGAGCATAGTGGCACATGGAGCAGAGTGGCACCTGGAGCAGAGTGGCACATGGAGCAGAGTGGCACATGGAGCAGAGTGGCACATGGAGCAGAGTGGCACATGGAGCAGAGTGGCACATGGAGCAGAGTGGCACATGGAGCAGAGGGCCACATGGAGCAGAGTGGCACATGGAGCAGAGTGGCACATGGAGCAGAGTGGCACATGGAGCAGAGTGGCACATGGAGCAGAGTGGCACATGGAGCAGAGTGGCACATGGAGCAGAGTGGCACATGGAGCAGAGTGGCACATGGAGCAGAGTGGCACATGGAGCAGAGTGGCACATGGAGCAGAGTGGCACATGGAGCAGAGTGGCACATGGAGCAGAGTGGCACATGGAGCAGAGTGGCACATGGAGCAGAGTGGCACATGGAGCAGAGTGGCACATGGAGCAGAGTGGCACATGGAGCAGAGTGGCACATGGAGCAGAGTGGCACATGGAGCAGAGTGGCACATGGAGCAGAGTGGCACATGGAGCAGAGTGGCACATGGAGCAGAGTGGCACATGGAGCAGAGTGGCACATGGAGCAGAGTGGCACATGGAGCAGAGTGGCACATGGAGCAGAGTGGCACATGGAGCAGAGTGGCACATGGAGCAGAGTGGCACATGGAGCAGAGTGGCACATGGAGCAGAGTGGCACATGGAGCAGAGTGGCACATGGAGCAGAGTGGCACATGGAGCAGAGTGGCACATGGAGCAGAGTGGCACATGGAGCAGAGTGGCACATGGAGCAGAGTGGCACATGGAGCAGAGTGGCACATGGAGCAGAGTGGCACATGGAGCAGAGTGGCACATGGAGCAGAGTGGCACATGGAGCAGAGTGGCACATGGAGCAGAGTGGCACATGGAGCAGAGTGGCACATGGAGCAGAGTGGCACATGGAGCAGAGTGGCACATGGAGCAGAGTGGCACATGGAGCAGAGTGGCACATGGAGCAGAGTGGCACATGGAGCAGAGTGGCACATGGAGCAGAGTGGCACATGGAGCAGAGTGGCACATGGAGCAGAGTGGCACATGGAGCAGAGTGGCACATGGAGCAGAGTGGCACATGGAGCAGAGTGGCACATGGAGCAGAGTGGCACATGGAGCAGAGTGGCACATGGAGCAGAGTGGCACATGGAGCAGAGTGGCACATGGAGCAGAGTGGCACATGGAGCAGAGTGGCACATGGAGCAGAGTGGCACATGGAGCAGAGTGGCACATGGAGCAGAGTGGCACATGGAGCAGAGTGGCACATGGAGCAGAGTGGCACATGGAGCAGAGTGGCACATGGAGCAGAGTGGCACATGGAGCAGAGTGGCACATGGAGCAGAGTGGCACATGGAGCAGAGTGGCACATGGAGCAGAGTGGCACATGGAGCAGAGTGGCACATGGAGCAGAGTGGCACATGGAGCAGAGTGGCACATGGAGCAGAGTGGCACATGGAGCAGAGTGGCACATGGAGCAGAGTGGCACATGGAGCAGAGTGGCACATGGAGCAGAGTGGCACATGGAGCAGAGTGGCACATGGAGCAGAGTGGCACATGGAGCAGAGTGGCACATGGAGCAGAGTGGCACATGGAGCAGAGTGGCACATGGAGCAGAGTGGCACATGGAGCAGAGTGGCACATGGAGCAGAGTGGCACATGGAGCAGAGTGGCACATGGAGCAGAGTGGCACATGGAGCAGAGTGGCACATGGAGCAGAGTGGCACATGGAGCAGAGTGGCACATGGAGCAGAGTGGCACATGGAGCAGAGTGGCACATGGAGCAGAGTGGCACATGGAGCAGAGTGGCACATGGAGCAGAGTGGCACATGGAGCAGAGTGGCACATGGAGCAGAGTGGCACATGGAGCAGAGTGGCACATGGAGCAGAGTGGCACATGGAGCAGAGTGGCACATGGAGCAGAGTGGCACATGGAGCAGAGTGGCACATGGAGCAGAGTGGCACATGGAGCAGAGTGGCACATGGTCCTGAAAGAAGGAACAGAATCATGAGGGCGAGGCACGGGTGGATGGCACGAGACGAGAGTGCGGGGCAAGAAAGCCAGCAATCATGCATCCAGAATCAACGCCACCAGGAGAAACGCGCTGCGGGTTATGACAGCGCATGACAGTGGATTATGCCACGGCAAGGCATGGCACTGACCTCATCGTGCCACGTCAGCTGCCAGCTCACCTCATCGTGCCACGTCATGCTGCCAGCTCACCTCATCATGCCACGCGTGCAGCTTGAGGCTCTGCACGACCTTGGGCAGCCCCAGCTCCACCATGGACGCCCCCAGGTGCCCGCGGGTCATCAGATTGCTCAGAGTCAGCACCGCCACGCGCACTATCTGTTCGGGGGTTAAGAGCAGTGCAGAGGTGTGAAGGGAGATGAAGAGGTGTGGGTTTCTGCACGACCTTGGGCAGCCCCAGCTCCACCATTGACGCCCCCAGGTGCCCGCGCGTCATCAGGTTGCTCAGAGTGAGCACTGCCACCCGCACTATCTGTGTGGTGTGGAGGGGTGGGAGGGAGGTGGGAGTTTGGGGTTTAAGCGCGGTGAAGAGGTGTGTAGGGAGGTGCAGGGCTGTGAGTGAGTGCTGTGCGACTGCCTGGCAGCCCCAGCTCCACCATTGATGCTCCCAGGTGCCTGCGCGTCATCAGGTTGCTCAGAGTCAGCACAGCCACCCGCACTATCTGTTTCCCGGGTGGATTGGGGGAATGCGAGGTTGGGAGAGGTGCAGAGGTGTGAAGGGAGGTGTAGAGGTGTGGGTTTCTGTGCAACCATCTGGCAGCCGCAGCTCCACCATTGACGACCCCAGGTGGCCACGGCCACAGGTGTAGAGGCCGCACTATCTGTGAGTGTGACACCGTGCGTGTGTGTAAAAGAAGGAGAAGGGTTGGGATGGGAGAAGGGATTGGTGGGGGGCGAGAGTTACCTTTTCGTTTGCAAAGCTCTTGGCAACGTCAACGAGGCACGGCTTCTTGAAGTGGGTCAGAAGCAGTCCGCTGAGCAAACTACCTTTTCTTAACCCTCCCTCACACACACACACCCCCACCACTCCCTGTCCCACCTTCTCCTTGGCGGAGCCCTTGGCAACGTCAATGAGGCGCGGGAGTATGCGCGCCTGGCGAATGACGAGTTGACTTTTGAGTCGACTCAAAAGTCAACGCAGCTACCCACCTTTTCTTTAGCGGAGCTCTTGGCAACGTCAATGAGGCGCGGCAGAATGCGCGCCTGGCGAATGGCCTCCAAGGAAGGCTCGTGGAAGGAGAGCAGCCAGAGGCACAGCACCGCCTCGTACAGCAGCTGAATGGGGGGGGAAATAAAGGGGGCGAGGATGGGAGGTGGGGGAGAGCGGGGTGTGAGACAGGAAGAGACAGAGGCATGGGGTCAGGGGCCCGGGCACTCATGCAGTGCGGTCACAGCAGCATGCATTGTAGCACATGGAGAATCTGGTTCTGGCAGGCCACGGGCACAACGTACAGCAGCAGCAGGCAGAACAGAAGCAAAAACGTGTGAGGAAGCCCACACCAAAACGAACCACACCATAACGCATCACACCGTAACGCATCACACCACATGCCATGCCTTCACACCTGCATCTGGTTCTGGCCTGCCCAGCCACGGGTGCAATGTAGGGCTGCAGCAGGCGCACGCCGTCAACCATATGGCACATACCAAAGCACACATCATAACGAATCACACTATAGCGCATCACACCTGCATCTGGTTCTGTCCAGCCACGGGTGCAATGTAGGGCAGCAGCAGTCGCACACCAAAGACAACCACACATGGAAGCACACACACATCTTAACGAAGCACACAATATCGCATCACACACACCTGCATCTGGTTCTGTCCAGCCACAGGGGCAATGTAGGGCAGCAGCAGGCGCACGCCATCAGCCTTGGCAAAGATGGAGCGAGCCGACACGTCCCTCAGCGTGGTGGCGAGCGCTGTTATGGCTGCTGGTACTGCCCGCACCGGGTGCACCGGGCGAGTCAGCTGGGGGTTGGAGGGGGGGAGGCGGGGGGAAGGAGAGGCGGAGAAGTGTGGGGATTGATTTATGAGGCGCCTCAACAGCTGTCATGTCCCTGCGCGTTGGCGCCAGCGCTGTTATGGCTGCTGGCACCGCCCTCACCGGGTGCACCGGGCGAGTCAGCTGGGGGTGGGGATGGGGGAGAGAAGAGGCGGAAAGGTGTGGGGGTTGATTTCTGCTTCTACAGTAAACATGTCCCTGAGCGTTGTGGCGAGCGCTGTTATGGCTGCTGGCACCACCCGCACCGGGTGCACCGGGCGAGTCAGCTGGGGGAGGGAGTGCGGGAGGGGAGAGACGGAAATGTGTGAAGGTTGATAACTGAGGAGCCTTAAAAGCGAATACGCCCCTGAGCGTTGTGGCGAGCGCTGTTACGGCTGATGGCACCGCGCGCACCGGGTGCACCGGGCGAGTCAGCTGGGGGCAGAAGGGAGGGAAATGGGGAGGCGGAGAGGTGTGGGGAAAGGGTAAATATGGTGGTGAGGGGGAAGCGAGATGACTAGGACGTGGGCATGGCAGAGCAGTCACCTGGTGGCAGAGCACTCACCTGGTGGCAGAGCACTCACCTGGTGGCAGAGCACTCACCTGGTGGCAGAGCACTCACCTGGTGGCAGAGCACTCACCTGGTGGCAGAGCAGTCACCTGGTGGCAGAGCACTCACCTGGTGGCAGAGAAAGGCGATGAAGGGCTCGACCACGTAGTCTATGTCGCCTGCCGGGGGGGACGCGGGCGTCCCTTCCCCTGCCGCTGCTGGTGGTGGTGCTGCTGGTGCTGCTGCTGCTGCTGCTGCTGCTGCTGGTGCTGCTGCTGCTGCTGTTGCGGGCGTGGACGAGCTGTGGGGGAAACGAGATCACTAGGTCATGGGCAGAGCACTCACCTGGTGGCAGAGAAAGGCAATGAAGGGCTCGAGCACGTAGTCTATGTCGCCTGCTGGGGGGGATGCGGGCGTCTCTGCCCCTGCTGCTGCTGTGGTGCTGGTGGTGCAGGCGCGGATTTTTCAGGGGCCTAAAAAAACTGGTGCTCACTCACCTGGTGGCAGAGAAAAGCGATGAAGGGCTCAAGCACGTAGTCTATGTCGCCTGCTGGGGGGGACGCGGGCGTCTCTGCCCCTGTATCTGCTGGTGCTGCTGGTGCTGCTGCTGCGAGCGCGGACGAGCTATGGGGGAAACGAGATCACTAGGTCATGGGCATGGCTCACCTGGTGGCAGAGAAAGGCAATGAAGGGCTCAAGCACGTAGTCTATGTCGCCTGCCGGGGGGGACGCGGGCGTCCCTTCCCCTGCCGCTGCTGGTGCTGCCGGCGCAGACGAGCTGTGGGGGCGAGAGCTGGTGGGCAGGCACGAGGCGGGAATGGCAGCGTGGAGAGGGGTGGGAGAAAGGGGGATGAGGGGAGAAGCACGGAAGGACGTGATTATCAACAGACTGGCAGGTGCTTTAGACGGGTGTTTCCCATTCATTGAATACACAGTGGCGAGGCAACGACCTCGTGATGCAGAGATACACGGGAAGCAGCAAATAGCAAACAGTGATCACACAAGGATGAGATGAGAGAGAAATGCAAGGGAATCAGCAGAGCACTCACACGATGATGAGGGGCAGAATCCGCGACGTGGCCTCCAGCACGAACCAGTTGGTGTGCCCCAGCAGTCTGTGTGGCACGTGGGGTGGCGGAGGGGCGGGGAGGGCATTGCGGGAAGGTGAAAACGGACAGTTCATGATCGAACGGTGGACAGACGGTCAGTGCAGCGTTGGATAGGGTTGTTGATGAAATGTGGGGCTGGTGAGACAGGTGTGCGAGAGACAGGTGTGCGAGAGACAGGTGTGCGAGAGATAGGTGTGCGAGAGACAGGTGTGCGAGAGACAGGTGTGCGAGAGACAGGTGTGCGAGAGATAGGTGTGCGAGAGACAGGTGTGCGAGAGATAGGTGTGCGAGAGACAGGTGTGCGAGAGATAGGTGTGCGAGAGACAGGTGTGCGAGAGACAGGTGTGCGAGAGACAGGTGTGCGAGAGACAGGTGTGCGAGAGATAGGTGTGCGAGAGACAGGTGTGCGAGAGATAGGTGTGCGAGAGACAGGTGTGCGAGAGATAGGTGTGCGAGAGACAGGTGTGCGAGAGATAGGTGTGCGAGAGATGGGTGTGCGAGAGATGGGTGTGCGAGAGATGGGTGTGCGAGAGATGGGTGTGCGAGAGATGGGTGTGCGAGAGATGGGTGTGCGAGAGACAGCGTGGAAGAACTACGATAGCGGTTTGCTTCCAGCACACGGGTGGGCAGAATGGTTGTAATGCCAGCGGGGCGCTCACCTGATGAAGGGCGCATAGACATCGTCCGTTATGGATGGGTCGTGGAACAAGCGCGCCCTCTTCTTGTCCCCTGCGGCACACACATGGGGCGGCGAGAACGCATGGCGTGCGGGTGAAATCAGTCTACGTGTTTCCCGCGCTGCTGCACTCGGCACTCAGTCACTAGACAGACACGATAACACCACCAGGTACAGTGTGCTGACCAAAGCACGAGCTCTCTTTCTGCAGTATTCGTTCGTAAGCCATAAAGGCAAAACTCGTTACTTGTTAAAAGCTCGTCGATGAGGGCGATGGTGTACTCCACGGTCTCCTCTTTAAAGACATTCTTCAATACGGATATAAACGTGCGCACGTATCCGACGCCGTTCTGCCAGCCAGGTCATTCAGTGAAACCAAACAAGAAAAGGGGGAGTTGCGACAAGCGTCAGAGCACTAGAGACGAGCACCGGAAACGAGACGCCTACATACAGTCGCTCCGTAGGAAACCAGGCGAGGGGAGACGGGAGACAGCCGCGCGGGTAGGACGAAAGGAACGAGGCAAACGCGATAAACGCAAGGAGGGATGGGGGAAGGGAGAGGAGCGAGACGGGGAGAGGCGGTTGATGCGGCGCTTGCCTCTTCGAGCAGCGCGGCCTGGACCTCCTTGGAGCGGTGGTCGTAGCGGCGCAGCAGCTGAAAGTCCGTGCCCGTGATCAGCTTCGCCGTCACGTACGTGTCCCACGCCACGTCGCCCAGCAGCACCTGCGACGGCGGGCGACAGGAACCACGCGTCGCACGCGACGGGAAATGTCATCGCGCACGTGAGGATGTGAGGCGTTTCGCAGGAGCAGGAGCATGCATATTGAAGAAGCATGGGATGTGAGGCGTCTCGCAAGAACGCTTTAGCGACGACAATGTGGTCAACGGCAAGTAGAGCTATGTAGGCAGCAGATCTGAGGGCCGCGAGCAACGGCCCGAGCAGCAGAGCAACGGCGAGAAAATCGGAAAATGGATCTGCAATGGGATCAGCAGGCATCTAGAAATAAAAGCTGGTGTTTTGTAGTCCGAGCTCGATAACCAGAAGCCTTGAAAAAAACCTGTGCTATTTAATGGCTAACAGGCGACGACAGGATTCGGACGCGAAAGGACGAGATCCGAATGCGCACCTTCTCCTTGTACGACTCGAACGACCCCTCCATCTACTCGATCTCGCTCAGATTCTTTGGCCAATAGCGTGAGAGAGCGATTAACAAGTGCGGAGATGCCGCTTATGCACGGGTGAGATAAGCTGTGACCAGTCACGTGCCTTCAGAAACGGCAATGAAGGAATACTTCGAACGAAGCTGACTGTTGCTATGTCAAATGTGCTACTTGCGGCGAACCCCAAAGGGGATCCTAGAGCACAGCACAAAAGCTCACGACACAGCCGTTTCTGACATCTGAACCTCGAAAGTGGAAAGTTTGAATATTCAGATTATAACATTCGGAGTGTTCTCATTTTGATATTATAATACACCGAGAATGTTACGCAACCAAATAGCGAAACGTTCGCGCCTCTCGCTTGCAGGCGTGGCGCTGACAATGCAGCAGGCGGGGTTTCGGTCCCTCTCATCTCTTCGTGCTGCCTCCCTCACTCCCCTCATTACCTTTTTGCACCATAGTAACCGCTTTTCACCACTCTCCTCTACTGCAAGAAGACCGAATCTGAAATCCACCAAGCATCCGTCCACTTTGTCCCAACTTTCAGGATCTGCTGAAAGTGGACAAGCTAGCTTCATCGCATAGTTTCTAACCTCAGTATCGTTCATATAATTCAGTCCGTAGAGAAAATTCGCGAATCTGCCGCTTCTTGTTATTCCAAGTGGTCGGGCGGGAACGGCCAGCAGCAGACACAGATAGAGCGAGAGGCGCAGCTGAGAGTGGGGCGATGAAGGTCACAGTGAAGACCCTCAAGGGGCTTCAATTCGACGTCAACGTCGAGCCGTCAGATAAGGCAAGAACCCTCGAATGCACGGAAGAAACGTCGAATCGTAAGAATACGCAAGATCCGTCGATGAATCGCCTATAGATGCGCTGTCAGGACCGGAACCGCTACATGGATACCTGCGCGTTCATAGATCGACTATCGAGATTCACCATAGTGAATTTCTGTGCCCTGAACCCGTCGAGTCCCCGCAGGTGGCGGAATTGAAACGGAAGATTTACGAGTTTTAGGGCGCGGCGTTGATAGATGCACGAGATTCAGGGCGCGGCGTTGATATTTGCACGAGATTCAGGGCGCGGCGCGATAGATGCACGAGATTCAGGGCGCGGCGTTGATAGATGCACGAGATTCAGGGCGCGGCGTTGATAGATGCACGAGATTCAGGGCGCGGCGTTGATAGATGCGCTGTCGTAATTTATACCAGTGAATTTATTAAGTGCATCGGTGTACCTCTGTGACCCGCACTCCCGCAGGTGGCGGAGGTGAAGGCGAAGATCTTCGAGATTCAGGGGATTCATGGCGCGGCGATGATAGGTTCACGGTCGTGATTTACATAGTGAATTTATCGAGTGCATCGGTGTACCTCTGTTACCCGCACTCCCGCAGGTGGCGGAGGTGAAGGCGAAGATCTTCGAGATTCAGGGCGCGGCGTTTCCGCGCGAGCAGCAGCTGCTGATCCATCAGGGCAAGGTGCTCAAAGACGACTCCACGCTCGCCGAGAGCAACGTCTCCGAAAATGGATTCCTCGTCGTCATGCTGACAAAGGTACGTCTCGTCACTCCCATCGTCCTTTTTTAGGCGCCTCGAAAACCGTTTCCGCGCGAGCAGCAGCTGCTGATCTACCAGGGCTTTTGAGGCGCCTCAAAAGGCGAACAGGCTTTTGAGACGCCTCACAAGGCGAGCAGCTGCTGCTGATCCACCAGGGCAAGGTGCTCAAAGACGACTCCACGCTCGCCGAAAGCAACGTCTCTGAAAATGGTTTCGTCGTCGTCATGCTCACAAAGGTACGCCACTTCACTTCGAATCTCCTTGCCACGTCACGTCCATCTTTCTCGGCACGTCACGTCAAACTTTCTTGCGACGTCCCACGCGTTTCGCCTCCGCCTTCTCTCAGATCAGATCCATTTCTCTCTTCCCTTCGCTCTCAGTCACTACCAGTGCTCGACGTAGATCTGGCGGTTTCTTGCTCGTCGGGACGATTCATGTCGTCTTGGTCGTACTGAACTCTGATTCTGCTGTGCGTGCGTCCTGCTTGCAGCCTAAACCCGGAGCCGCAGGGGCGTCGTCATCAGCGCAAGCAGCGGTAGGAATTTCAAGAATTCGTGTTTTTTTCTGTTCTTCCCTCTGATTTGTTTTCAAAGTTTCAATCAGCGTAAACGCCCCAGAATCCAATTGAGGAAGTCATATTAGGCAAACACGAAATTTGGTTGTACAACTTTCCCAGCCTGCAGCCACCCCTGCGCCAGCCCCTGTTGCGGCACCAGCGGCCGCGCCAGCGGCACCAGCGGCGCAAGCAGCCCCCGCAGCCCCAGCCGAGCCCGCCGCCCCAGCAGCGCCCGCCGCCCCTCCTGCCGCCACCGCCGCACCCGCAGCAGCCGCGGGCGAGCAGGCGGGGAGTGGCGCGGCGACGGAGACCGGGGGGGTGTACGGGCAGGCGGCTTCCGCGCTGCTGGCGGGGCCGCACCTAGAGTCGACGGTGCAGCAGATTCTGGAGATGGGCGGCGGAAGCTGGGAGCGCGAGACGGTGCTGCGCGCGCTGCGGGCGGCGTTCAACAACCCGGAGCGCGCCGTGGAGTACCTCTACTCGGTACGCGCCCCTGACCCCTCCGCAGTGCACCGCACCTCGCCCCACCGTACTCCACCGTTTTTCACACCTTTTCTCGCCTCTTTCTCATCCCGCGTCTCACTCCTTAGCTGCTCTACGCGCATTCCCCTCCTCTCCTCCACGACGCCACACCCTCCCCCCCACCATTTCCCTGCCCCACCTCGCAGGGCATACCAGAGACGGCGGCTCCGCCTGTGGCGCGCGCGCCACCAGCGGCGGGAGGGGGAGGGGAGGCGGAGGGCATGGAGGACGTGGCGATGGAAGGCGGCCCCAACACCGCGCCTCTCAACCTCTTCCCCCAGGTGCGCCTTCTCCCCCAGGTGCGCCCTTCCCCCAAGTGCGCCTTCTCCCCCAGGTGCGCTCTTCCCCCATGTGTGCTCTTCCCCCAGGTGCGCCCTTCCCCTAGGTGTGCCTTCTCCCTTAAGTGCGCCTTCTCCCCCAGGTGCGCCCTTCCCCCGGATGCGCTCTTCCCCCAAGTGTGCCCTTCCCCCGGATGCGCTCTTCCCCCAAGTGTGCCCTTCCCCCAGGTGCGCCTTCTCCCCCGGGTGCGCTCTTCCCGCAGGTGCGCTCTACCCCCAGGTGCGTTTACAACCCAGGTACGAAAGAAAGCTCTGGTCCACAGGTGCTGGCCCTGGCTTGACCATGCGACCTGAGCTGAGTTGCGCGTTTCCCTGTTTCGTGGATATGTCCTTCTGTTTGGTGCATTCACGACAGCCGGGGCAAGGGGGGGCAGCAGCAGGCGCGGAGGGAGCGGCCACTCAGCTGGACTTCCTGCGAAACAATCCCCGGGTGAGTGGTTATTAGTGCAGGGTGAGTGGTTACCAGTGCAGGTTGAGTGGTTACCAGTGCAGGGTGAGTGGTTAGTGCCAGGGTGAGCGGTTACCAGTGCAGGTTGAGTGGTTACCAGTGCAGGTTGAGTGGTTACCAGTGCAGGGTGAGTGATTACCAGTTCGGGGTGAGTGGTTACCAGTGGAGGGTGAGTGGTTACTATTGCTTTAAAGCGTTGTCTGGATTAGAATCACAGGGCTTGCATTGTAACAGCAGGCCAGGTCTGGAGTGTAGAGTGCAGGCAGTGCTTGGCCGGTCGTTGTGGAGTGCCTCTTACTGCTGTTGCTTCTCATGCTGCCCTTGCTCATGCGGACACTCATGCTCATGCTGTCGCCACTGCTCGTGCTGCCTGTGCTGCGTGGCAGTTCCAAGAGCTAAGAGCCATGGTGCAAGCGCGCCCACAGCTGCTTTTGAGGCGCCTCAAATTAATGCTCATGCTGATGTTGATGCTGTCATTTCTGCTCGTGCTGCCCTGCTCGTTCTGTGCTGCGTGTGTTGCCCGGCAGTTCCAAGAGCTAAGAGCCATGGTCCAAGCGCGCCCACAGCTGCTGCAGGTACGCCCTCCCCTTCCACACTCTGCTCCATACCCGCCACACCACCTTCCCTTATCTCATGACTTTGCTCTGTGTCCAATCACCAAACCATTCCCTTCTACCTCAGCCCACCTTGCCACTTCTAGATGCTTGCATGCAACCATCCCCGATTAATATGCCACTATCCCACCCATGCCACCGTGCTACTATCCTCCGTCTCCCAGCTGTCAACACCACATCCGTCCCTTCCCCCACCCGCTCCCATTCTTCCCTTTTCTCAACCCCTCTCCCCCTCGCCCCCATCACCAGCCCATGCTACAGGAGCTGGGCAAGCAGAACCCCGAGCTGCTGCAACTCATTCACCTCCACTCCCGTCCCCCATCCCCCATCGCCCTCATCGCCCTCACCTCAACCCCACACCCGTCCCTTTCTCCCCCCTCCCACCATCCCTCTCTCTTAAATCTCCCGTCCCAAGCGCAGCCCATGCTACAGGAGCTGGGCAAGCAGAATCCCGAGCTGCTGCAGCTGATTCAGGCTACCATCCCCCCCTCACCTCAACCCCCTCACCCGCCCCTTTCTCCCCTCTCTCCCCCACCTCCCCCCGCCCCCTCTCCCACCCCCTCCCCTCTCCCCAAGCGCATCCCATGCTACAGGAGTTGGGCAAGCAAAACCCCGAGCTGCTGCAGCTGATTCAGGCGCAAGCAGAACCGCGAGCGGAGCTGGGCAAGCAGAACCGCGAGCTGCTGCAACTCGTTCACCTCCACTCCCGTCACGTTCTCTTTAACCCCTCCCCCCCCGTCCCGCCCCCCTCTTCCACATCTTCCCATCTCCAGCCCATGCTACAGGAGTTGGGCAAGCAAAACCCCGAGCTGCTGCAGCTGATTCAGGCGCACCAGACGGAGTTTCTTCAACTCATCAACGAGCCGCCCCCGGAAGGGTAAGTGCCACCTGTGTGCCACCCCAGCTCTCTGTGCCACAACCCCTCTCCTCCGTGTGTCAGTGCCAGTGCCACTGTCCTGTCTTGCTCTTGGAAAAGCCACGCACTCTCTTCATTCAGGCGCACCAGTCGGAGTTCCTCCAACTTATCAACGAGCCGGCCCCAGAAGCGTAAGTGCCACCTGAGTGCCACCCACTCGCTCTGTCCCACCCGCTCGCTCTGTCCCACCCGCTCGCTCTGTCCCACCCGCTCGCTCTGTCCCACCCGCTCTCTTCCTCTATCAGACGCTACGACCCTTCTTTCTACGGTCCTCCTATATGCCATTGCCAGCCGCCTCCTGTGCGATGCCTGGCACCCACGCCCTTGCTCCGTCCCTCCATCTGTCCCCCCGTCTTTTACTCCATCCCTCAATTCGTCCCTCCATCCGTCCATTCGGCCCTCCGTCTTTCCATCTCCCTCCTTCCATTTGCCCATTTCGCGATCTGCCTTCCGTCCCTTCATCCGTCCATCAGTGAGCTGATGAGTCAGCTGGAGGCGGCAGCAGCAGCGGCAGCAGGAGGGGAGGGCTTGCCGCCAGGCGTGAGAGCAATCCAAGTCACCCCGGAGGAGCAAGAGGCCATTGCACGGGTGAGAGGGGCAAGAGGCCATAGCACGGGTGAGAGGGGGTGAGAGGGGCTGTAGCACGGGTGAGAGGGGCTGTAGCACGGGTGAGAGGGGCTGTAGCACGGGTGAGAGGGGCTGTAGCACAGGTGAGAGGGGCTGTAGCACGGGTGAGAGGGGCTGTAGCACGGGTGAGAGGGGCTGTAGCACGGGTGAGAGGGGCTGTAGCACGGGTGAGAGGGGCTGTAGCTCGGGTGAGAGGGGCTGTAGCACGGGTGCATTTTTCCTTGCGTGCGACAAGAACGAGGAGCTCGCCATGCCTCGCACCTGCCTGTCCCCTTCTTTTTTCCAAACGATCCCTTCTGTTCCCCCTGCCCCCGTGTCCCATGCAGCTGGAAGCAATGGGGTTTGACCGCGATCTGGTGATGGAGGCATTCTTCGCGTGCGACAAGAGCGAGGAGCTCACTGCCAACTACCTGCCCCACTCCGTTTAAAGCACCCTCGTACTCTGTGCCCTGTGCAACGTGCTCCTGTGCCCCCCTGCCTGTATCCATGCAGCTGGAGGCGATGGGATTCGACAGGGACCTGGTGGTGGAGGCATTCTTTGCATGTGAGAAGAGCGAGGAGCTCGCTGCCAACTACCTGCCCCACTCCGTTTAAAGCACCATCGTACTCTGTGCCCTGTGCAACGTGCTCCTGTGCCCCCCTGCTTGTATCCGTGCAGCTGGAGGCGATGGGGTTCGACAGGGACCTGGTGGTGGAGGCATTCTTTGCGTGCGACAAGAACGAGGAGCTCGCTGCCAACTACCTGCTGGAGCACGGCGCTGAGTTTGACGACTGACTCATGCATGCCCGCACTTGACGTTTGAACCCCCATGGGTTCCTGTTGCAGCGCAGAAGGGCAGAACAGAGTAGTGCAGTGCAGTGCGGTGCGGTGCAGCCGCGAATAACGATGCTTAGCTGCCGTGGATTGTTTGCCTTAGACTCTGTTGTTCCTGCTTGGCCTGCGACTTCTAGCCTGAGGTGGTGGAGTGGAGCCTCCGGGTTTTCTCAAAGTCAGTTCAGCTTCCCTGGTCTCTCGAGCTCTGTTTGCTCTAGCTGTGTTGGCTGGTTTTGACTACAGGCTGGTTATTAGACCTACACATGAAGTTACTGGGGGTTCATGTGGCAACTTTTTGTGTTTAAAATATATACCTATACATTACCTGTTTCTAGCTAGTAATGGTGATAGTGTACTAATACATTGTATTTACTGTGCCATCCTTGGTGCTGCTACTGCCCCCCTTTAAGGCCATGGGAGAGTGTGTGAATGTAGAAAACCAATTGGGCGGGTTGAAGTTAGAACTTAGAAGTAGTGATGACTTGCAGATGAAGCCAGCAAACCATTCTCTAGTGCACACCACACCACCACTGTACCAAAACCGCATCAGCTGAACAGAGATTGTATGGTAGAAACTCTGACAAATAAAAAATTGACAGAAGTTGCGTCTATTCCACACACCGTATTCTGAACACTACACAGCCACTAGCACATTGCACTGACTTGTGCGAGCTACACCGGATGAGCTATGGTGGACAAGTTATGGTTGACAGGCTACGTTCGGCTCTTCATCCGCTTCCTCCCTCTCCTCCTCACCTTCCCCCACCACCCCTCCTTCCACCCCTCCCCCCACACTCCCACTCCCACCTTCACTACCGTCCCCACTGCTCCCTTCCCCGCTGCTGCTCTCTCCCCCTGCCAGTGTCTGCTGCAGCTGGTAGGCATACTGCAGGCTGCGGCAGTAGTGCAGCGGCGGGTTGAACCACGGGTCCTGCATGTCCTCTCCTCTGCCAGGAAGAAGCGGAGGCTATTTGGGCAGCAAGCGTGACAGGGCATGCCCTGCACTGCAGCGGTGGGTTGAAGTGCGTGGGTCCTGCATGCCCTCTCCTCTGCTAGGATACCCCCCTCTCTGCATGCTCACCTCCCTCCCTCAACCCCCCACCACTGCCCCCTCCCCCTCCTCCCCACCTTCCCCCACCACCTCTCCTTCCACCCCTCCGTCCAAGCCGCTCCCACTCTCCGCTTCGCTACCGTCCTCACTACTAACCCCCCCCCACTGGCCCCTCTGACCATGCTCTGCTGCAGCTGGTAGGCATACTGCAGGCTGCGGCAGTAGTGCAGCGGTGGGTTGACCATAGACACCGGAGCAGCAATACGTTCCCTGCAGGTTGAAACGCGGGTCCTGCATGTCCTCTCCTCTGCTAGGAACGCCCCGCTCTCTGCATGCTCACCTCCCTCCCTCTCTCAACCCCCCACCACCGCCTCCTCTCCCTCCTCCCCACCTTCCCCCACCACGCCTCCCTCCACACCGCTCCCACTCTCCAACTCGCTGCCATCCCCACTGCTACTGCCCTCCCCACCACCATTCCCCATACTCATGCTCTGCTGCAGCTGGTACGCATACTGCAGGCTGCGGCAGTTGTGCAGCGGCGGGTTGAAGCGCGGGTCCTGCATGTCCTCCTCCCTTCCTCAACCCCCCACCACCGGTCCCTCCCCCACCTCCCCACCTTCCCCCACCACCTCTCCTTCCACCCCTCCGTCCACGCCGCTCCCACTCTCCGCTTCGCTACCGTCCCCACTACTACTCCCCCCCCCACCACCATTCCCCCCACCCATGCTCTGCTGCAGCTGGTAGGCATACTGCAGGCTGCGGCAGTAGTGCAGCGGCGGGTTGAAGCGCGGGTCCTGCATGTCCTCCGCCAGGAACGCCCCGCTCTCGAGAAGGAAGCGGATTGCCCGCCGCCGGTTGTGCCGTGCCGCGTGGTGCAGCGGGGTCCCTGGGGGAGAGGTGGAGGTGGAGGGGGAGGGGAAAGGGGGGAGGAGGGCAAGAGAAGTGGGGGTTGAGGGGAGGGACGGATGCGAGGCAAGGAGTGGAGGGGAATGGGGGGTATGAGTGGGAGAGCATGCGGTGCGTCAGTGTCGACCTGCCCTGCACTGCAGCAGCGGCAAGTTAAGCGCGGATCCTGCATGTCCTCTGCTGAACGTGGGGCATGGGAGGTGGGGAGGGGTGAGTTAGAAAGGGGAGGGGAGGGGAGGGGAGGGGAGGGGAGGGGAGGGGAGGGGAGGGGAGGGGAGGGGAGGGGAGGGGAGGGGAGGGGAGGATGCGAGGCGGGGGAGAAACAGAGGGGACCAGGGAGTATGAGTGACAGAGTAGGTCTAAGAAGTTTTCAGCAGAGCAGCGACGGGACATGCGGGTGGCAGCGGCAGCGGCAGCGGCAGTGGCAGCAGCAGCATGAGCAGCAGGGAAGGGGATTGACAGCCAAAGGCACCGTGGGTGCGGGCTTCGATGTTGGTTCCACCCTCCAGCAGCGCGTCCATGACCGCTATGTGCCCCGCTGCTGCTGCCTTCTGAGGCGCTTTTGGAGGCGCCTAGAAAACACAGACACCAGCACTCACAGCCAAAGGCACCGCGGGTGCGTGCTTCGATGTTAGCTCCACCCTCCAGCAGCGCGTCCATAACGGCTATGTGCCCCGCTGCTGCCGCCAGGTGCAGCGCCGTCGCCCCCGCGTACTTCGGGCCCAGCGATGGCTCGTCCACCGCCACATCCCCTTCCTCCAGTAACTGCCGCACCTGGTGAGATGAAAAGGAAAAGGGGGATTTGAGGCCCTGGTGCTAGAGAACACTGATAGCTTCCTCTCATGTGCTTCGGGCCCAGCGATGGCTCGTCCACCGCCACATCTCCCTCCTCCAGCAGCTGCCGCACCTGGGTGGGTGGGGTGCGTATGTTGGGGACGGACAGGAAAAAGATAGGAAACATAGCGGTTTGAGGCTCGGGTGCTAGAGAACACTGATAGCTTGCTCTCGCCCAGGAAGCCCAGGATAGCGTGCTTCGGGCCCAGCGATGGCTCGTCTACCGCCACATCGCCCTCCTCCAGTAACTGCCGCACCTGGGTGGGTGGGAGGGAGGGAGGGTAGGTTGTAGGGAGGGTGGGAAAGACACGGAAGAGAAGGGGGAAGGGACAATGAGCGACACTCATGGCTCGTCCACCGCCACGTCGCCCTCCTCCAGTAGCCGCCGCACTTGGGTGGATGAAAGGGAAAGAAAGAGAAAAAGGGATTTTGAGGCGCGGGTGCTAGAGAACACTGATAGCTTGCTCTCGCGTGCTTTGGGCCCAACGATGGCTTGTCCACTGCCACGTCGCCCTCCTCCAGTAACTGCCGCACCTGGAATAAGTGGGTGCGTGGGTCACAGCGGGACACGGGAAAGAAAGGAAAAGATGGGGATTTGGGGCGCTGGTGCTGTGCTAGAGAACACTGACAGCTTGCTGTCGCCCAGGACGGTCAGCTTGCCCAGGACGCCCAGCTCGCCCAGGACGCCCAGCTTGCTGTCGCCCAGGACGCCCAGGTTGCCCAGTGCTTCGGCCTCAGTGATGGCTCATCCACGCCCACGTCGCCCTGCCGTGTTACCCTGTAACCAAGGCGCTACCATGCTACCTCAATACCCGGTTACCATGTTACCACGCACCATGCGCACGTTGCCCATGTGGCTAGCGATGTGCAGCATCGTCCACCCGCGGTCGTCACGCACGTTCAGCGCCACAGGCGGGCCCGGCCTCGTGCCTGCCCTGCTGCCGCCTGCCCTGCTGCCGCCACCTGCCCTGCTGCTGCTGCCGCCTGTTCTTGAGGCACGGGAGGAGGAGCGACGAGGAGGGTGGATGGACGGCACGGGGCGACGGGTCTCATTCTCGCTCTCCCCTGCTGCCGTTTCACTATCACCCCCTGCCGCCGCCGCCGCTGCTGCTGCTTCCACTGCTGCTACTGCTCCTGCTGCTGCTCCATCACCCCCATTATCGTCACCATCACGGCCCTCAGACGCGTCACGGCCGTCATCAACGTTACGCGCGGCCAATAGCTCGTCGCCAGCGCGGAGTCCCTTCCTGCTGCGTCGGGACGAGCTTCTCCTCCCCGCCTTCTCCGCCGTCGTCCCCTCGGGTCTCGCCTTCGCCTCTTGCTTCGCAATCCCCTCGCCATCGGCTGCCACGTCAGCTTGGAATAATCGCGTCTGGTTGTGCCATTGCAAGTCCTGGAGAAGGGACGGGGATGCGAATCGCTCGTTAGAATAGTAGCCTTGTAATAGATTCAATCACATCCTGAATCTTCCGCACTGGTTCCCTAACCTTGCTCGGCTCTACGCACGCGAAGCGCATGTAACGTGCTCCTCGCAGCCCAGACGTACCATTCCCACCATATCGCTCGGCTCCTGGGGATCTCTCAATTCCCGAAACTTCGCGAATGGCTTAGAGTGTCGCACGTCGTCGCAGCCTCACCGCCTTTGACTGTACCCCGCAAAGTGCTCACTGGCGTCGTCATGGCCTCCCGCCAAATTCCATCGTCACAACTCGACTCCACACCGTCCTAAGTTCGCTCGCGACGGAATCTGCTACATAACAACCGGATTCAAACGCTTCACATATCACCGTGTTAACTACTGAGCTTTACAATTAACTAAAATAATTACTCCGAGCGCAAAGGGAGTCGCTGGCGACCGAGCATGGGTAGTGACAGACAGGTGATCACGTCGTTCATGCGAGCAAACAGTGACAGCAGCGACAGTGGGACAGCAGGCTCATCCACACTGACCATGCTCTCGCCTAGAAAGCAGTTCTGACTAGGAGGAGGAGGCATCCCTTTGTTTCAGATTTCCACGATCGATGGTGCGAAACCGATCGCTCACCGTACTTCAAGCCTCTCTTATGCGTTTTAAACGTTTGATAACGTTCTGAACCACGTTCTAAACGTTTGAACCACGTTCTAAAGTAGGTACGCGTCCTGAAGTTGAAAAGGCTGTTCATTTGTAACAGCAGTTTGTTTCTCCTTCAGTCTAATGTATATATTGGAAATGCAATTAATCCCCATTTGCTATCTGGTGTGAGTCCATTATCCTATGCACATCACGAGCAGGTAGGATTTTTTTTTGTTTTTTTTGTTTTATTATTTTCATAGTATTGAAAATGATTATGCGGCTCCATTTTAGTAGTTCCTACAAGGAAAACTAACTAAAAATCCATACCATTTTGATTCTACACACCCATGACTACCTCCGTGATTGTACACGCATGATCTTGTAGATACACTGGCTTTTTGCGCATCTATTTGAGACGAATATGGCTGGTGGCACACGTAATACTGTATCGAAACAGGGTCGGATTTCCCGCGACAACAGAGGCCAGCCCTAGATTTGGAGCGACCATGGTGGAATCAATGGACACGTGAATCTGCACCGTCCGCCGGGGTGTGCGGTGGTACACAGTGCGGCATGCGTTGGCAGCGCTGCTGTGCTGTCGACCAGGATTGCCTGTGGGCCCACACGGGCAGCTGCCTTCAGGCAGGACGGCTTGCCATTGGCGGCTGCCGATGAAAAAGTGCAGAGGAGAACTTTGGGGACCCCAAGTTGGGGCAATGGGCGGTCTGGCGGGGAAAAGAGGTTTGATTGAGGAGGGGTGCGTGCGGGGGAAGCGAAGCGAGGCGTCCAGCTGGACTTGCTTGCAGGGGGAAGACTGCAGAACACAAGGCGGATGCGAGGAGAGCAGGAGGGGGTGGTGGGTGGGGGAAGAGGAGCCCAATTCAGCCACCTCAATCCAAGCCTTTAAAAACAGCTCTAACCAGTTGAAACCGACCCAATTTTTCATTATCCATTCACCTAGCGGGAAGCTCTGTTTCTCGCTTTCGGGACAAGCCGTGATCAATCAATTGAAGAGGAAGTGGCGATGAACAGAAGCGAGGCGTGCTCGCACACCTGCAAGAACGCCATTAATTTCCTCCACCTGCGCAATTGTCCCTGGTTGGTTGTATGTGGAGCACGATTGCCAGGCGAGCAAAGTGCACGGTACAGAATGGAAACCTTGGTCCATGGCGGTTGTTTACCAGATGCGATACTAGAGGTCGTTTTTCTTGTTAGATGGAATGCGTCAGACTCTCAGAGAAAGAGATAAGCCTCCCCACCATCCCCCCACTCCCAGACCAGCCTGGCAGTGCACTGTCGAATCAATATTTCGCGCGTCGTTTCAGCTGTCACGCGTCGTGTGGATTGCGCTCTTATCACCTTAACGCGGTACAATCGGGCCGGTGTACCCCCAGGCATGATCGTGCAACCGGGTGTGTCTGCTGCAGCCATATCAACGCATGGCGGAACGAGTAGAGGCCCAGCAAAGAACCATCAAAAGAGTGATATCCAGTGCCAACTGATCCAACAACGCACCCACGCTCGCTTTCATCTTGCATTCGTTGATCCCGACAGTCGTCACCCTTTTTGCGTGTGCTCGTCGCATGCTAATAGCGTAGTTCTGAGATGACCGCTTACCACTCGAGCCCCTTAAGGACATCGTAGTCCGTGTCGCGCACCCGTGCGTTAAGTACGAGGCGTACTATTTATCGCATCATGGCGTTTCTCCCGCGGGTTTTACCCTCCGCCTGGAGCGGTCCTCTGTGTCCCGTGTGGTCGCTAATGGGCGTTCCCCTCGCGCTGCTCGTCGCGTCGCTCAACCCGCACCTCTGGTCGCTCGCCCTCTCCGCGGCCGCGTCGCGCCACGGCGGAGCGGCGCTGCTGCCGCTCTTGCTGTTCACGCACGCCGTCGCGCTGCTCCTCAATTACGCGGCTGCGCGCATCGTCGACGTCACTGGTGCCACCGTTCCTCAGGTTCGCGCTCGCTAGCTCGCGCTCCGCTGTTACCCGCGATTTCGCACTCCGCCGCTCGCGAATTCCCGCATTCAGCCGCTCACGAATCCGCCCCGTGTTCTCCGCCTCGTCGCATGTTTGGCTTCACGAGTTTCCGCGCGCCCTCCGCCGCCTGCTGCCGCTCCTCTGCGCCGCCTCCATAGTCGCGCTCGACGTCGCCGCGCTCTGGGCCTCCCCCACGGCGCTGCAGCTGCTGGCGGGGCTCGCGCTCAAGCCCGCGCTGCTGCTCTCCGCCCTCTCCGGCCTCGCCGCCATCGCCGCCCCTCCCAGCAAGGTGCGCCCCTCCGCGTATTGCGACTCCGCTACGAACTCCCTTCCCCCCCACCCCCTCGCTTCCGGTTCCCCCCATTCTTCCCTTGCCACCGCGTGGCCATTTGGGCCGTTAAATTTGCGGCGCACCCGCGGTCTGTGTGGCGCCGAGTTGTCCGCGCAAGCCCAGATGCGCACACACGCGCCATCGGCTGACGAGTGACGTGCGTCCGGCCCATGCCCGCCATTTCACGCCCCATCGCACTGCTTCCTATTCGTGCACTAACCTCACCCACCCGTATCTCTACGATCCTGCCTCTCCCCGTTTCTCCGCGACCCAACACGTGCAGGCTCAGCAGCTGGTGTCGCTGTGCGTCAGCCTGCTGCTGCTCCTCCTCCTCTCCTGCGCGCTGCACTGCCTCTCCGCCCTTAGCTCCCTCGGCCCCGCCGTTTTCATCCCGCCTCGCCTCCCCCTTCCCCTCGTCGCGCCCGCCGCGCTTCTCCCCTCCGCGGAGTGCGCGTGGATCGGCGCGGCGCTGCTGGGCGCGTGTCTGCTGCCGCACACCTTCCTCCTGCTCGCCTGGCAGGTACGCCCCTCGCCTCCTCGTTCTCGCATCCCGTGATCGTAGCTTTGTCGTTTTCCACTGCTCTTAGCCGCTTGCGTTGCTTCCCCTGCTCTTAGCTTCATCGCTGCTTTTAGATTCGCTTCCGCTGTCTCGTCACTTCATCCCTTTGTCGCTTCTCTGTTTCGCCTCGTCTTTTTTTCGGGTCTGCTCTATTTGCTGCGACGTGCTGTTAGGCATCGTTTGCTGCTACTGCGCTCCAGTATCTCGGCTCTCTCTACCCTCTTGCTCATCATGCCTTCTCCTCGTCCCATCTGCCCCTGCCTGCCCGCGCGCAGGAAGAGGCCGACTCGGAAGAGCGCAAGCCAGAGAAGCAGGGGGCGGGCGCAAGGTGCACAGGGGGGCGGCGGTGGCGGCGGTGGGGGGAGCTGCTGCTGCCACAGTCGCTGGCTCTGGCGGCGGCGGTGCTGCTGGTGCTGGGCGCTGCTGCTGGGGCGATGAGGACGGGGGAGGGCGAGGAGGACGAGACAGACACACCGTCCGTGCTGTCACTGCAGGACGGCCACTGCCTCCTTGTGCAGGTGTGTGTGTGTGTGTGGATGCGTGTGTGTGTGTGTGTGTGTGTGTGTGTGTGTGTGTGTGTGTGTGTGTGTGTGTGTGTGTATGTGTGTGTCTCGCCTTCTCGCCTGCACCTGGTTCTCAAGCGATGTCTTTGTGGTCGTGTGAAGGTTGAACATGATGTGCTGATGGCTGTTCATGCCAGGAAGCAGTGGATGGAGATTAACGGATGAGTAAGCAGCAGTTAGCGGAACCCAAAGGGCCAACCACACGTAATGAAGCTTCGTGAATGCATTTCCCGCACCTCCCCTGTATCAGCACCTGACACCCCCCCTTCTCTTACGCCCGTCTGCCCTCCCTCCCGTCCCACGGCCCCACCCCTGCAGCTGCTGACGGCCAAGGCAGCGCCGGGGCTCTTTGCGCTCGTGCTGCTGGCAGCAGCGCACCTCCTCGCGCCCTCCACCACCCTCGCCGCACAGCTCGCCCTCTCCGCCTTCGCCTTCCCTCCTCCCCCCGCCTCCTCCGCTTCCCCTTCCTCCCCACCTCCGCGCCACCCCTCCCCCTACCTCGCCTTTGCAGCCACCCGCCTCGCCTCCCTCCTCCTCACGCTCCTCCCCGCGCTCCTCCTAGGGGATTCCTTCGCCCTCCACTTGATCCAATCCGCGCCTCTCGCCCTCGCGCCCCTGCTTCCCTTGGCCGCCGCGCCTCTCATCCGCCTGGCGGCTTCCCCCGACGTCATGGGCCCCTGCCGCCTCCCCCCCGCCCTGCGCCTGCTCGCCTGCCTCGCCTGCTGCGCCCTCTCCGCGCTCTCCCTCGCGCACCTGGCCTCCGCCCTGCCCGCGCTGCTGCAGGGCTATGCGGGGGAGATGGAGGGCATGGGGCTGTGGGAGTGGCTGGCGGGGGGGGCGTGGGCGGGGGAGGCGGGGGAGGAGGGCGGAGGGGGGCTGGCAGTGGCGCTGGCGCCAGGGGCTGTGTGGCATGGGCTGGCGCAGGTGGGGGCGGTGGTGGGGGGGAGTGTGGGGGTGGCAGCGGCGGTGGGAGCGCTGGTGTGGGTGATGAGGGTACCGCTGCGGTCGGAGGGAGCGGGGGAGGGGGAAGAGGAGGGGGAGGGGGAGGGGGAGGGGGAGGGGGAGGGGGAGGGGGATGGTGTTCTGGATGAAGGCATGGGGGAGGAGGAGGCTGTTATGGGCGAGGGAATGGAGGGTTGGATGTATGGCGGAGAGGAGGTGGTGGGAGAGGAGAGGGATGGGGATGATGTGATGTGGCAGCAACAATGGGTGGAGGAAGAGGGGGAGGGGGGGTTGCGGTGGGGGGAGGAGGTGATGTGTGACGAAGGTGAGGAGGGGTGGGAGGGGACGCAGCAGTGGGCGGCAGAGTCCCTTGCAGGGGCAGACGAGCAAGAGGGAGCAGGAGAGGAGAAGATGGGGAGCATGGGAGTTGAGAGTGGGGACATTGTTGGCGATGAGTGTGTGGGTGTGAGCCAAGAAGCTCTGCGGGAGCAGAAGGGGCGAGAGCAGGAGGGGGCGGAGCATAGGGCAGAGGGAGAGCTAACAAAAGGGGGTGGGGAGCAGTATGGCGCTCAATCCGAGGCTGCGGCTGTCGTACCTTCTGCTGCTCCTGCTGCTGCTGCCGCCGAACCTTCTGTTGCTGCTGCAGCTGTTGCCGATGCAAGTGTGATTGAGGCTGCAGCAATAGCAGTGGGAGGGGTCGTGGATAGGAAGGAATCAGCAGCAATGGCAGCAGTGAGAGCTGTGACCGCCTGTGCACCTCCGGTTGCTGCCCCTGCTGTAGAGGCGAAAGCGGCCGCATCACTGCCCGACCAGGAGGAGGAGGAGCAGAAGGAGCAGAAGGAGCAGGAGGAGGAGGCAAGGGTCGACGCTCGCACAGCAGCGGGTGGGGGGCCAGCAGATGCCCCTGACGCCAGCACAGGGGGCGCTGAGCAGGGCGGCGCAGCAGAGTGCAGGGAGGGGGCGATTGGCATGGGAGCGGAGGTGGTGGGTGCGGGTCAGAGTGGGAAGGAGGAGGTGGAGGTGGAGGTGGAGGTGGAGGAGGAGGAGAAACAGATGGTGGCGGTGCGGCAACGAGGGGAAGAGGTGGTGGGGGAGGAGGGGAGCAAGGGGGCGGGTGCAGGGGAGCAGAAGGGGGAGATGGCAGCAGTAGGGCCGTTGCCAGACGATCCATTCAATTCCGCAACCAGCCCTGCCAAGCCCTCGTGCAGACACCCACCAGAGGCAACTCCCAACCCCTCCTCTCAGCCCTGCAGCCCGGAGAGTGGCTCTCCGTCTGCCTGCAAGAGTGGCAAGGGTTTCTCGGGAAAGTGTTCGGATCTGTCAGCGCCGTCCTTCCTGCCAGCCCTCGCCCCCTGCTCCACCACTGCTGCTGGCCATGCTAGCAGCAGCGGGATCAGCAGCACTAGCAGCGGCAGCGTCTGCTGCAGCAGCAGCAGCGGGTGTGGCATGAGTGGCATGAGCGGTGGTGGCATGGGTGGTGGCGGCAGGAGTGGCAGTGGCAGTCTGTCGCGCGTGTGTGGGCTGGGGCGAGGGGCGCGCAGGCAGGTGGCCGCCATTCTGGACGACTTCTGGGCGGCGATCTTCGACCTGCATGGCCATGCTGTGGCAGTGGAGGGGTGGGGGCAGGGCGTGGGGGAGGTGAGGGCGCAGGGTGTGTTGGGGGCAGCAGGGCAGGGTGGCACAGGGAGGGCAGCAGGAGGAGCATCGCAGGGTGGCATGGGCTTGCCTGTGGACTGTTACGCGTCGAAGCAGGCATCCCTCCCTGATTTCCATGGCTCGCATCTGTTGTCAGCTAGTGCCAAGCCCTTCTCCCCGTCCTTCACACCCACCTTCTCACCTTCCGCTTCCGTGCTAGGCAGCAGCGTCAACAACAGTAGCACCATTAACACCAGCAGCACTATGAACAGCAGCATGGGCGGGGGCATGGCATCTCTGCTCTCATCCTCACTGCCATCGTCAGCAGCAGCAGCAGCAGGGCGCGAGTACAGCACGCTCTCCCACCTGCCCACCCTGCACGAGCTCTCCCTGCTGCACCCCTCCTACCTCCTCCCCGCCCGCCGCTGCATCTCGCCTGATCCCCCCTCCTCCCTCCCACCCCCCACCTATATGGGTGCGAGCATGGGTGCAGGAATGAGCATGGGTGCAGGCATGAGTGCAGGCATGGGTGCAGGGATGGGCATGGATGCAGGAATGGGCATGAGCCAGGGGGCACAGAGCACAGCAGTGGCGGAGGGGATGTGCAGGGGAGCGGGAGGGGCCACAGGGGGTGCGCTGCTGGGCGGGGTGGGTGGTGCAGGGCAGGTGTGGCAGGTGGAGGGACCCAGCCGCTCCACGCCCAACCTGCGGGGTGACCTGCTGGGGGGACTCAGCCTCAGGGCACATTCTCCCTCGCTGCTCGGGATTGGTGGGCTGGCAGGGCAGTGCCACGGCCTGCTTGACCCTGGACGCATGAGTTCCTTTCAGCAGCAGCAACAGTTGCAGCAGCAGCAGGTGTATCAGCAGGAGCGTGGAGTGGGGGCGCTTGGGTTCGCAGTGGTGGAAGACGGTAGTATTGATGAGAGTGACGTGGCGGATGCTGCTGCCAGCCTGGCACAGCTGAGCCAGTTGCAGCACGAGTATGCGGAATTCAGCAGTACAGGTCGAGGTGGGACTGCTATGGGCGGTGCTGGTGGCGGTGCAGGTGGAGCAGGGGGCGGCATGGGCAGTGCATGGGAGCAGCAGGTGGATGAGCTGGTGGGGACGCGGTCAAACCGCACTGCACCACTCCATGTGGGGCTTTGCGATGCTGCCTCTCCTGCTGCGCTCACAAACGGGCGAGTGGGGTCACTGCAGCGAACAGGCAGCGGGGGCATGTGGGGGTATGGGTCTGGCGCTGTACGGAGTGCAGCAGCAGCAAGCAGCGGGGGCAGTGGAAAGTGGAGCACAATGCATGTGACGGGCATCCAGGGCAGCATGCACGGGCCTGCCATGCCCCCACAAGACTTACCAGACCTGGCAGACCAATGGCTGGCCGCTACTGCTGTCAGCAAGGGGGGAAAGTCCAGCAACCCAGGCTGGCAGCAGATGCAGCAGGCACAGCAGGCGCAGCAGCAGGAGAAGCAGCAGGGAAGGCAGCACGAGCGATCAGTTCCTCTGATGGGAGCAGCAGCAGCAGCGGCAGAGGAGGCACGGGTGGAGGCGGTGCAGGTGTGTGTGCAGCGCTTGCTACGGGTGGACGGCAGCGACTGGCTCTTCCGCTTTGACACCGGCCCCGATGAGGACCTCATCGCCGCCCTCGCCCTCCGCGACCGCAAGCTCGCCGCCTCCTCCGCACTCTCTGCCCGCATCTCCCCGCCCGCTCTCGCCCACGCGGCCGCTCACCACGCGCATTCGCACAGTGGGGGCGGCAGGGACGGGGAGTGGGTGCTGCCTGCGGGAGTGTGGGGGTGCGGGGAGGGGTGTGTGTGGAGCGGTGCGCTGGTGGTGTCGTTTGGAGTGTGGTGTGTGCACCGGGTGTTGGAGCTGTCACAGCTGGAGAGCAGACCAGAGCTCTGGGGCAAATACACCTACGTGCTCAATCGCCTGCAGGTCAGCCACCTCCCCTCTTCCTCCTCCCACAATGCGCATCCCTGCATGCTCTTCCAGCATGCTGCGTCTCGCAGCATAACCTGTCGTTACCATGTCGTTCTCATCCTCATCTGTCCCCCCTCTCTTATTAATTGTATTCTTTCAGGGAGTTTTGGACCCTGCATTTGCGCACCCGCGCCCGGTGCTGGTGCTGTGTGCCTGTTTTGGAGAGGCAGCGGGGCAGCCAGCGTTGGCAGCACAGCGGCTCTTCCAGGGGCTGCTGGCCGGCTCCCTCTGGGGCACACAAATCCCCCTCGCCAGCCCCAACTGGCCCTTCCCCGGCCCGCCAGGCCACCGGGGGCCGGCGTGTGCTGCTCTCTTTCTCGACCGCATTCGCGAGGTGGAGGCGGCGGTGGGGGGGCGCAAGGGCAGGACCGGCACGGTGGCGGGGGATGTGGCGTTTCCCAAGGGGAAGGAGAACCTCTCGTCGGTGCTGAAGCGGTACAAGCGGCGCCTAGGCTTTTTTGCCAATGCTTAGTTGCTGTTTTTATTTTTTCCCACGACCGGTGGGTAGTAGTGCAGGGCATTTTCCAGCCCACATTTTTTTGCCCAATGTGCGGGCTTATTCGTGACAATGGTCAGGGAGCTTTTTGGCTTGTTTTTCTCCTGTTTGTATTTGCCTTTTTACGGGATTTGATTTTTACTGTGGAAAGTAATTCGTCATTACTCTAAAACAGTTATCGTACCTCAGTCTTTCAAATTGCACGAGCCATAATCGTAGGTTATATCGCGACGCCAACCGACACGGCAGCACGAGTCTTGTGTGGCAAACAAGCGCACTCACCTCCGCAACAATCCATGAGCCAAAGTTACGTCATCACCTCTTGTTACTCGTGTTGGCTCGCCTCATCCCCTTGGCTGCGACCGACGTGCGACGAAACCGCTTTCGCCAACCAAAGGCAACCTCTCCGTCGCCACGCGCACCACTATTCTCGACAGCCCACAAATCCTCGCTCGCCAAAGGGGATCGCACACGGATCGAGGTTGGATATTTCGGCCAATGCTGGTCGACTTGCGCGTGGATCCCGTCGCACGCCAGCGCACTGACGACGCCTGTGTCGCACCCACCCGCAACCTCCAAGGCCACATATGGAAGTTGTCTCGAGTCATGCCCATTCTGAAGCCTGATGAAATCCATGGCGGACGCACCCAGCTTCTGATCAGCGATTCCTGCCAGGCATTGCATGGCCAGCCGACAGGAACGCCGCAGGCTGTTATGAAGGGCAGTTATCCACACACTTTTTTCTGTTCCCTAGCTTCGTTTCCCACTCACGACGTGGTAGTCATGGCGTTTCCCACTCACGACGTGGTAGTCATGGCAACTCGACCATGTCCATCAACAAGCAATACCATACTTCCCGCCAGAACATGCATCTCTCCCTTCACTCGCGAAGTCACCCTCATCTCAAGCTAGCCTCGCCGCGCAGAAATGGACGGCGTAGATCTCTCGAAATGCGTGTGCGAGGCGGGCGCGGTGGAGTGGATCCGCGACTGGTTTCAGGACTGCGTGTACTCGCGCTGGGACCTGCTCTCCTTCCTGGTCGGCCTCGCCTCCATCGGCTGCTGGCTCGTCGCGCAGCTGCCGCAGTTCATTCAGAACATCCGAGTCGGGTCCGCCGACGCGCTCTCGCCCTGGTTCCTCTTCCAATGGCTCTCCGTACGCGCCGCTTCCGGTCCCACGCACATGCGCTTCGTGCCCTATCTTTCCGCGCGAAGGGCTTCCCACGAAAGTAGAATGTTCAACTCCAAGTGTAGATAGCTACAGAGTTGTCGTGATGCAATGCTCCCATGGCCTGCTCGCCTCCCGCGTTATGTTCACCTCCGTGTGCGCTGCGTGTCCGCGTGTGCGTGTGCGTGTGCGTGTGCGTGTGCGTGTGTGCGTGCGTGTGCGTGCGTGTGCGTGCGTGTGCCTATACGCGCAGGGCGATCTGCTGAACCTGCTGGGCTGTCTGCTGTCCGGCAGCCAGCTCATCACGCAGACGTTCACGGCCATCTACTTCATCTTCGCCGACTGCTGCATCATCGCGCAGGTACCACCGCCCGCGCGCGCGCGCACGTCGCATTGCCGGGTACCGCCTGCGCGCTCGTCTCATTGCAAAACCAGGCTCAGATGCCCGCTTCATTCCGGTGTGCGCAGCTGCCGCCGTGGACCCGTGCCTCACGCTACGCATTCCCGCCTTCCTTCCCACCTTTCTCCCCCCCCACCCCCTCCCCTCCCCCCCCCCCCCACTTTCCCACATCCTCTTCCGTTTCCCCTCTCCCCGTCCTTGTCCACCCCCCCTCTCCCACCTTTCCCCCCCACACCCCACCCACCCCCGCGCATCCCCGCAGTACGTGTACTACCAGCTGAAGAACCGCGACTCGATCGAGCTGGACGCGGACTGCATGTCGCGCGCGCCGTCGCAGCAGGACGGCTTCATCACCGCCGCCGCCTTCTCCTCGCCCTCCGCCGCCCTCCGCCGCCCGCTCCTGTCCGCCAGGCCCGCCGCGGCAGCAGATCACGCGGATGCCGCCAGCAACGGGGCGGTCGGCAGAGCGCTGTCTGTATCGTCGCCGCCCAGGACGAAGCCACGGCGTGCTGTGGAGGAAATCCGCGCTTTAGAGAACGAGCTGCCTTATAGAGAGGTTGAGGCTGGCGGGGCAGCGGCAGCGACAGCAGAGCATGAGAGTCACGTGCACAGACAGAAGCAGCAGCAGCAGCAGCAGCAGCAACACCGGCACGAGCACCACAACTACCACCCGGTGTCGTTTTTAGCTGGCCGCTCAGGCGCTGTGCTCCTCGCCCACGCCTGGCAGGGCCCCCACCTCCCCTCCGACCCCCGCCCCCTTTCTCTGCCACCTCCCCAAGACGCAGACGCAGCCGGGTCTGAAGCAGGCGAGGCAGGAGAAGCTGATGCAGGAAAGTTAGACGTGGCAGGAAAGGCGGCCGCGGCAGGAAAAGCAGCGGGTCGGCGGCTCAATGTTGCTGGGCGGAGAGAACAGGGCTCGGGAGTGCGGGGGGATGGGCGGGGCAGGTTGTTGCGGATAGCTGAGGAGGGCGAAGGGCGGGCGGACCTGTTCCCAGTGGCGTCAGACAATACAGGCACGAGGGCGTCAGACAATGCAGACGGAAGGGCGGGCGGTGCAGGGTTGGCGGGAGATCGCAGCAGGAGACGTGCGACTGGAGACGAGGCCGGGGGAGCAGAGAGGCGCAGGGGTGGGGGCCAGCTAGGGCGAGTGCAGTTTGAGGATCAGGGGGGCATGGACGGGGAGGGCGCGGGGGGCGAGGGGCGCAGGCGCAGGGCGTACAGCGGGCGGGAGGTGCGGCGGGTAGTCGAGCAGTACGGGCTGGAGCACGGCCCTCCGCTGCTGCACGCCCGCCTCACCATCCACCACCACCCCGCTGCCCCCGCGCCCAGCCCTGCAGCCCTGATGGGGGGAGATCAGGGGCAGGCGGGAGAGGGAGAGCGAGAGATAGGCGCGGGTCGAGTGGGGGATGGAGCAGCAGGAGAGGGTGGGGAGGGAGGGGGACGTGGGCGTGAGAGTGGGGTTGGCCGTGGAGGGGCGGTGTATGTGAAGCAGGAGGGGGCAGCTGCTGAAGTAACAGGTGCCTCGGCTGTTGTACCTGGTGCAGCTGCCACCGTGCCTGCTGCCACTGGGGGAGGGGCATCTGAGAGAGGTAGCGCGTCTGGAGGGGCAGCAGGGCCCAGGCCTCAGAAGGCGGGGGCGCTGTCTCTGCTGCTGGGCTCGCTCATGCTGCTGGCACTCGCCTCCTCTGCCCTCAACCCTGCAGAGCAAGGGGATGCCCTCACAGCACAGCTCAGTGGTGGCGCTGGTCCGTGCAGAGGGGGCAGGTGCAGCAGGGCGTGGTGGGGAACAGGTGAGGTAGAGGTGTCGGCAGGAAGGAAGCTGCTGGCGGTGCAGGCGAGGGAGAGGCAGGCAGCGCAGTGGCATCAGTTGCGGGGGGAGCGGCATGCGTGGCAGCAGCAGGCTGTGGTGGAGGTGGGAAGAGTGAGGTCTGGCAACAGCACGCTCTGCCTGCTGCATCCCCATCACCCCAACTGCCAGCCTGCTGCTGGTGCTGCTGCTGCTGTGCGTGCGGGCGGTGGCAGTGCAGTGAGTGATGGTGGCAGTTTGGCAGGCAGGGAGGCAGGTGTGGTGCTGCAGCTGCTGCCTCCCGTGCTTCCACTTGCTGACAGACTGAGCGAGGAGCAGAAGAACGCAAGGAAGAGGGACGCAGGGGAGAGGGGCGCAGGGGAGAGGGACAGGGAGGAGGGGGACAGGGAGGAGGGGGAAGCGGAGATGGCAGCATGCAGGGCGGAGAGGAAGCGGCGGAGGAAGGAGCCCAGCAAGTTCATCCACCAGCTGGGTCTCATGCTCGGGTGTGTGCATCCCCCGTTGCATGACATCCGTCATCCATGGCATCTTGGCCACTCCAGCATATTCTCCACATACATCTCCCGCAAACCTCTCGCACACACCTTTCGTACACACCTCTCCCTTGCACCTCCCCCTCACACCTCTCCCTCACGCCTCTCCCTCACACCTCTCCCTCACACCTCTCCCACACACCTCTCCTTCACGCCTCTCCCTCCCACCTCTCCTTCACACCTCTCCCTCACACCTCTCCCACACACCTCTCTGTCTCTCCCTCGCACCAGGTGGGTGTCAGCGGGCTTCTACCTGGGCTCGCGGGTGTCGCAGATCTGGCAGAACGCGGAGCGCGGGTCAGCAGAGGGGCTCTCCATGGCCATGTTTCTCTGCGCCTTCTGCGGCAACCTCACCTACGGCACCGCCATTCTGCTGCGCGCCCCTTCTCTGTACGCTATTCTGCTGCACGCCGCTTCTCTTCCGCCCGAAACGCTAGTGCATGCTGAGGGACCTCTGAAATCGAAGCGTGTTGGCCTTGTGTGTGCGGTGTGCATGGCAGGGCGGCATTGAGTGGCAACCTGCCATGGCTGGTGGGCAGCATGGGGACTCTTTCCCTAGACATCACCATTTACCTGCAGGTGAGCCGACCCTTGTTATCTTCACCTGACACGCCTTGCACTGCATCCACAGGAGAAAGTCTTTGCCGCAGGTGGAATGACTTCGGATGATGTTGTGGAACCTCTCTTGTTCTCAACCGCTGTGTCAATCACTCAACTCTGTCGCATACTCCATTCTACTGCACACAATCCTGTCATATTTTGCAGGCCCAGTTTCTGAGCTGCAAGAAGGAACACTCATCTGCCGTTCGCCCCATCATTGTCTTATGACTAGTGCGCCCTCTGCTGCGCTGCTTCTCAGCATGCCGTGGCTCTCTACACACACCTGATGTGAAGCTCATCCGTCATTCAAAAGCACTGTAATTGACACCCATTGCTCCTTATCCTTGGAAATAGGATTGGTATACTAGACGTTAACGGTTAATTGTTGCGCTACAGCAAGAAAAAGAGGCATCCACAGCACAGGCATCCAATGCAGTGGACCAATCAAAGTGATGTGTTGGGCAGTCTGGTCAGTATGGGCACATATAATAGGCATATCAAGCAGAGTTCAGATGCTCAAATATTGCAAACTATATGGAATGAAATGGAAACACTTGTTGTGGATGTGGAAAATAGTATAATCAAGTGGACCAGCAAGAAAAAAGAGGTATCCAATGCAGTGGACCAATGCCTACGCTCCCTACATGTGCGCGTACAGACCACCTTGAACAATGCATCACTTTGATCGGTCATACGAACTGGATGCCATTTGTATTAGGTTAGTTCACTAGATAAGAATATTTTCTACCTAGTTGCCTTTGTGATTCCACATTCCATATATTTTGCAAGGTATGAGTGTTTCATATCTGCCTGGTACGCTCCCTACATGTGCGCGTACCAACCACAAGAATCAACGCATCACTTTGATTGGCCATGCAGCGGAAGAAAACGCTCATCCCCAAGACGAGGAAGGATCCGCACATGTGCAGAAAATGCAGAAGGCATGGTTCATTCGCGAACACCAATGACCGATCATGCTCGCCACCCTCCCATGCTCTTGCTGGCTTGGTGATAGGTCCAGACGCACACTGCCGCGTGACCCAACAGAAGAAAAACGCTCGGAACGAGTGTTTTCATCCTCAAAACGCGGAAGGATCCGCACATGTGCAGAAAATGCAGCAGGCATGGTTCATTCGCGAGCACCAATGACCGATCATGCTCGCCACCCTCCCACGCTCTTGCTGTCTTGGTAATAGGTCCAAACGCACACAGCCGAGTCCCAACGGAAGAAAAACGCTCGGAACGAGCGTTTCCACCCCCAAAACGCGGAAGGATCCGCACATGTGCAGGAAGTGCAGCAGGCGCTCTTCATTCGCGAGCGCCGATGACCGATGATGCTCGCAACCCTCCCACGCCCTTGCTGGCTTGGTAATAGGCTCAGACAAGCGCAGCCACGTGACCCGGCGGAAGAAAAACGCTCGGAACGAGCGCTTCCACCCCCAAAACGCAAAAGGATCCGCACATGTGTAGGAAGTGCAGCGAGCGTTCTTCATTTGCGAGCGCCGATGACCAATGATGCTCGCATCCCTCCCACGCCCTTGCTGGCTTGGTAATAGGCCCAGACAAGCGCAGCCACGTGACCCGGCGGAAGAAAAATGCTCGGAACGAGCGCTTCCAGCCACAAAACGGAAGGATCCACACATGTGCAGGAAGTGCAGCGGGCGCTCTTCATTCGCGAGCGCCGATGACCGATGATGCTCGCAACCCTCCCACGCCCTTGCTGGCTTGGTAATAGGCCCAGACAAGCGCAGCCACGTGACTTGGCGGAAGAAAAACACCAGAAACGAGAGCTTCCTGCCCCAAAACACGGAAGTATCCGCACATGTGCAGGAAGTGCAGCGGGCGCTCTTCATTCGCGAGCGCCGATGACCGATGATGCTCGCAACCCTCCCACGCCCTTGCTGACTTGGTAATAGGCCCAGACAAGCGCAGCCACGTGACCCGGCGCAAGAAAAACGCTCGGAACGAGCGCTTCCAGCCCCCGCACATGTGCAGGAAGTGCAGCGGGCGCTCTTCATTCGCGAGCGCCGATGACCGATGATGTCGCATCCCTCCCACGCCCTTGCTGGCTTGGTAATAGGCCCAGACAAGCGCAACCATGTGACTTGGCGGAAGGAAAACGCTCGGAACGAGCGCATCCAACCACAAAACAGAAGGATCCGCACATGTGCAGGAAGTGCAGCGGGCGCTCTTCATTCGCGAGCGCCGATGACCGATGATGCTCGCAACCCTCTCACGCCCTTGCTGGCTTGGCAATAGAACCAGACAAGCGCAACCATGTGACCCGGCGGAAGAAAAACACCCGGAACGAGAGCTTCCTGCCCCAAAACGCGGAAGTATCCGCACATGTGCAGGAAGTGCAGCGGGCGCTCTTCATTCGCGAGCGCGGATGACCGATAATGCTCGCAACCCTCCCACGCCCTTGCTGGCTTGGTAATAGGCCCAGACAAGCGCAACTACGTGACCCGGCGGAAGAAAAACGCTCGAAACGAGCGCTCCCAGCCACAAAACGCGGAAGGATGTGCACATGTGCAGGAAGTGCAGCGGGCGCTCTTCATTTGCGAGCGCCGATGACCGATGATGCTCGCAACCCTCCCACGCCCTTGCTGGCTTGGTAATAGGCCCAGACAAGCGCCGCCACGTGACCCGGCGGAAGAAAAACGCTCGGAACGAGCGCTTCCAGCCCCGTAACGCGGAAGGATCCGCACATGTGCAGGAAGTGCAGCGGGCGCTCTTCATTCGCGAGCGCCGATGGCCGATGATGCTCTCAACCCTCCCACGCCCTTGCTAGATTGGTAATAGGCCCAGACAAGCGCAACCACATGACTCGGCGAAAGAAAAACGCTCGGAACGAGCGCTTCCAGCCACAAAACGCGGAAGGATCCGCACATGTGCAGGAAGTGCAGCGGGCGCTCTTCATTCGCGAGCGCCGATGACCGATGATGCTCGCAACCCTCCCACGCCCTTGCTGGCTTGGTAATAGGCCCAGAAAAGCGCAGCCACGTGACCCGGCGGAAGAAAAACGCTCGGAACGAGCACTTCCAGCCACAAAACGCGGAAGGATCCGCACATGTGCAGGAAGTGCAGCGGGCGCTCTTCATTCGCGAGCGCCGATGACCGATGATGCTCGCAACCCTCCCACGCCCTTGCTGGCTTGGTAATAGGCCCAGACAAGCGCAGCCACGTGACCCGTCGGAAGAAAAACGCTCGGAACGAGCGCTTCCAGCCCCAAAACGCGGAAGGATCCGCACGTGTGCAGGAAGTGCAGCGGGCGCTCTTCATTCGCGAGCGCCGATGACCGATGATGCTCGCAACCCTCCCACGCCCTTGCTGGCTTGGTAATAGGCCCAGACAAGCGCAGCCACGTGACCTGGCGGAAGAAAAACGCTCGGAACGAGCGTTTCCAGCCCCAAAACGCTGAAGGATCCGCACGTGTGCACGAAGTGCAGCGGGCGCTCTTCATTCGCGAGCGCCGATGACCGATGATGCTCGCAACCCTCCCACGCCCTTGCTGACTTGGTAATAGGCTCAGAGAAGCGCAGCCATGTGACTTGGCGGAAGAAAAACGCTCGGAACGAGCGCTTCCAGCCACAAAACGGAAGGATCCGCACATGTGCAGGAAGTGCAGCGGGCGCTCTTCATTCGCGAGCGACGATGACCGATGATGCTCGCAACCCTCCCACGCCCTTCCTGGCTTGGTAATAGGCCCAGACAAGTGCAGCCACGTGACCCGGCGGAAGAAAAACAACCGGAACGAGAGCTTCCTGCCCCAAAACGCGGAAGTATCCGCACATGTGCACGTTGTGCAGCGGGCGCTCTTCATTCGCGAGCTTGGATGACCGATGATGCTCGCAACCCTCCCACGCCCTTGCTGGCTTGGTAATAGGCCCAGACAAGCGCCGCCACGTAACCCGGCGGAAGAAAAACGCTCGGAACGAGCGCTTCCAGCCCCGAAACGCGGAAGGATCCGCACATGTGCAGGAAGTGCAGCCGGCGCTCTTCATTCGCGAGCGCCTATGGCCGATGATGCTCTCAACCCTCCCACGCCCTTGCTGGATTGGTAATAGGCCCAGACAAGCACAATCACGTGACCCGGCGGAAGAAAAACGCTCGGAATGAGCGCTTCCAGCCACAAAACGCGGAAGGATCCGCACATGTGCAGGAAGTGCAGCGGGCGCTCTTCATTCGCGAGCGCCGTTGACGGATGATACTCGCAACCCTCCCACGCCCTTACTGGCTTGGTAATAGGCCCAGACAAGCGCAGCCACGTGACCCGGCGGAAGAAAAACGCTCGGAACGAGCGCTTCCAGCCCCGTAACGCGGAAGGATCCGCACATGTGCAGGAAGTGCAGCGGGCGCTCTTCATTCGCGAGCGCCGATGGCCGATGATGCTCTCAACCCTCCCACGCCCTTGCTGGATTGGTAATAGGCCCAGACAAGCGCAACCACGTGACCCGGCGGAAGAAAAAACGCTCGGAACGAGCACTTCCAGCCACAAAACGCGGAAGGATCCGCACATGTGCAGGAAGTGCAGCGGGCGCTCTTCATTCGCGAGCGCCGATGACCGATGATGCTCGCAACCCTCCCACGCCCTTTCTGGCTTGGTAATAGGCCTAGACAAGCGCAGCCACGTGACCCGGCGGAAGAAAAACGCTCCGACCTAGCGCTTCCAGCCCCAAATCCCGGAAGGATCCGCACATGTGCAGGAAGTGCAGCGGGCGCTCTTCATTCGCGAGCGCCGATGACCGATGATGCTTGCAACCCTCCCACGCCCTTGCTGACTTGGTAATAGGCTCACAGAAGCGCAGCCATGTGACTTGGCGGAAGAAAAACGCTCGGAACGAGCGCTTCCAGCCACAAAACGGAAGGATCCGCACATGTGCAGGAAGTGCAGCGGGCGCTCTTCATTCGCGAGCGATGATGACCGATGATGCTCGCAACCCTCCCACGCCCTTCCTGGCTTGGTAATAGGCCCAGAC